TACATACCTAACCCTGACCATTACCATACATACCTAACCCTGACCATTACATACCTAACCCTGACCATTACCAGTACATACCTGACCCTAACCATTACCAGTACAGCAGGGTGAAGAAAGCTGATGCCAACAGACTTGATAAACTCATCAAGAGAGCTGGCTCAGTTCTGGGAGTGGACCTGCTGTCTCTTGACAGGTGTCTGAGCAGAGGACGTTGAGGAACCTGCTCCAGACCCTGAACAACACGTCACACCCCCTGCATGACACCCTGGACTCTTACCGCAGCACCTTCAGTAGACTGAGACCACCGAGGTGCTCCACAGAACAACACAGGATGTTCTTTCTCCTTGTGGCTATCAAACTTTTCAACTCCTCCCCCTTTCTGCACATAGGACAATAAAATTAATCCTGTACTACAATAAACTCTTCAATCTTTCTGTCTGCACCTGTTTAGAACTTAATTGTTGGTATTTTTATATTCTCTGTTATTTTTTTTTTATATCTTGTGTATGCTCCATTGTATTGAAACTCTGGTAAAACAATTTCCTGCGGGATCAATAAAGTTCTATCTCATCTTACATACCTAACGCACCAACAACACTTCAACCTTATGGGGAACAGGCTTTGGTCCTCACAAAGTAACATAAGCACGCACACACACACATCCACGTGTATGGTGACAACATGCATGAAGCGGGGAGGGGGAGGGGGGGTATTGTCCAACCCCCTCTTTGCTCCGTGACAGGAACATAAACGGTTGACATGAACCAGTGTGGAGCTGCTGGGACTGGACTGGATTCAAGATGGCTCCAAACTGAGGTCAAAGATCTATTTTCAACAGGTAAGATATTAACTCTTTAACTTTTCCACTTCAACACGGTTGAACAGTCTCTTTAAAAGCAGGACTCTGGTCTTTTCCGTCTCACTTTGACTCGTCATGAGTGAACACTTCATGCTCAGGTAAAACATCTTCAGGTGTGAAAGGAAGCGATGAGGTCACAGCCTGCTTCCTGCGGGACCGCCTCCATCACTCTGTGCTCACCCTTGGGTTCGAGGGTCCTCCCACTGCGTCGTCTTGGTGTTGTGGTTGACGAAGTACACTCTGTCGTTGGAGTCCACGCGCCTCTCTGCAGTTCACGACGAGCAGAAAACAGAAACGTTCAAACACACAAATGGTCTGAAACTGAGCACCGTCTCAAATGAATTACAGAACGTCGTAACGCTGCGGGACTAAAAATTTAATAACTCACCCCAACCAGGAGGTAAAGGACCCAGAGGGTCGTTCTCTGCAGACATCATGGACGCCTGAAATGAGACACATTCATCAGGAAACGAATCCTTTACGAAGTATTCAAACAGGAACAAGAGAGGGAGTAAATCTAAACGTGCTCCGATGTTCGTCTTGATTTGTTCTGTCAAGACGACATCACTGTCAGATGAAAGACTCAACGAAACATCACAGATAACAGCCAACAGCTGGGGCTTAATTTACAATTTAAAGATAAAATCTTATTCACACCCTTTTCATCACATCTCTTTGAAGATATTGTAGAGACTGACCAATCAAGAAGCTCCTGACGACTCCTGGACACAACGAAATTAAAAGGTTTCGTTGATAAAGTCTATCAATTAAAGGATTCATTTACACATAAAACAAGCGGGACGCCAATGTCCTGGGGGGCTTCAATACTGAGTGTTTGTAGTTTAAAACATGAGTGTTTTTTGGGTTGGAACTGAACAGGAAATAAATGTTTTTGGTGCAAAATATTTAAGTGAACAGGAGTTAAACTGGGTTTTTTTTGTGCTCGTCAGCTATTTTATCCATTGCCAGGTGGAGCCAGGGGGTGGCCAATGGTGGCCTCGGCCCCACAAAGATTAAACTTTGGCCACCTCAATCATTTGAGGAAACTGCTTTTAAGCAGGGGTGCAAGACTTCTTCATCATGCAGCTCCTTTTCAAACGACCAAGTCAAAGTGATCTACCTGCTACAAGGCCCCGTTTACACAGAACCATCTCTGGAAACATTAGTGATTTTCCAGTGTTTATCGGGGGTAATAAACAAAAAATGAATGGGTTTCCATGTCAGTCGGGTTGTCAGATATCAGAATAAACTTTATCATCATTGCACCGAAGTACAGCGAGATTATATACTGAATGTTGAACTTTAGACTTTAAAGTGATAGTATTTTAACCTAAACTGTCAGATGTGCTGAATAAAGATATTCTAAGATGAGGTGTGTGTTGTGTTTGTTGAACATGTGCACAGAAAAAGAGGTGATAATTAAGACATTTTAAATTTATCTGGCAACCCTGATGCAGGGCTCAGCTGTATTCATTGTGCATGCAGCATCTGCATGACCACAGTTAGTCCAAACTGGTGAAGACACTCACGTCTCTTTGAGCCTGGATTTGATTAGTTTTGCTCCTACATGTTGAAAAAGTGTGAGCAGCACAAAAACACTCTAACATTTATTATAATTGTTGTTATTTATTATAACTGTTGTTATATTTAGTATAACTGTTATTTATTATAACTGTTGTTATTTATTATAACTGTTGTTATATTTAGTATAACTGTTATTTATTATAACTGTTGTTATTTATTATAACTGTTGTTAGAGCAGAAAAACTTTGGACTGCAGCCGCCTGTAGTGTGTGTGCATGTGACTTCACACTGAGCATTTCACACCTCTGTGGGGGTTCTCCTGAAAATCTCTCCTTAAGAGACCTGGATTCAGTAATCCTTCAGTTTCAGGCCCTATTTACACGGACACGATGGGGGAAACGTAGGGTTTTTCGTATGTTAATTAGGGGAAAAGATCTGCATCGACACTGTCAGATTTTGTGTTTACATGCATCCGGAGGAACCAGACCAGAACCGAGTCGACTATGTCAGACTTTACTCCGTGATAATCAGTAGCTGATTTACTGCAGGTAAATCAAATGTTCTTAATAATGTTAGCTTGTGTTTACTTCGGTCACAAAACAACCAACTGAGTTTTTATTTTTCCTGAAAGAAGAAGAAGCTGTCTTCCACCAGGCGGACCGGTTCTGAACGAGGCTGGGCCCAGGTGCAGTGCAGGAGGACGTGGAAGAGACAGATGTTGGATTAACTATTTATTTAAAATTCCCCTCAGTTCTTTTATTCAATCCATTGAATGTTTTAAGTTGCATTAATCAAAGGAGTGACTTCCTGAACGAACCAGATGAACAACATGGGACATCCAGGATAAAAAACAGAGGAAGAGTTCAGTTCATTAATGTAGTTTACAGTTAACTTGTTTTTAATAGTGTGATCAGTTTAATTATCAGTGTTTGTGTGACATACAGTTTGTGGTGCTGAATAAATAAATAAAAATTAAACATGATGTCTTCATTTTCAACTTTAATAACACGCAATATGTTTAGCATCATTGTAATCACATAATTTGAATTACATAATGTCCAGAGAGCTTCATAATAGATCTCAAAATTAAGATAAATACTGTTTATTATTATTAAATTGTTATTATTTAGCACATTTATGTTATAGTGCAGCGCGACGTGTGCCTCGTTCTATAAACCGACATTAGAACTAGATCCGACTGTGTCTTTTCCAACACAGATGTCGGTCACAGCACCTGGAATCTAATGTAGATTAACTACGAGATTAAAATATATTCCATCAGTCATAGTTCAGAAAGCAGTGTGTCCGCCGCCAAGTTGATAGAAATATGCCGTTGGTCCGCGCGTGCGTGTGCGCATGTGGTTTAACACAAAGCCTCAGCGGGAGATGTTTACATTATGAGCGGGCGGTCAGTGAAAAACCTCCACTCTGGAAGGTGGGTTCAGAAACCTCCGGATTCAAAGAGGGGGGCCACTGGTGTCGTGTAAATGATCAGAAGAACCGCAGAGAGAAAGCTGCGGATTCACTCAAAATACACGCCGTGTAAATGGCCCCTCAGACAGAATGAGGATGTTGTCTAAATGAATGGCCGAACGTTTCACATCGTGTAAACGGGGCCTCAGACTGGCTGCCCTGTCTGTCAATCAAATGACAAATTCCATAGATGGATGATAGACAGACAGTTAGACACAGACCGGACCTGACACCTGACAGACTGTTAGACACAGACCGGACCGACACCTGACAGACTGTTAGACACAGACCGGAC